CTTCAGGAGCACAGGACAGCCACAAGTTTGTTTACTGGGCAACAGCCATCACAGCCACACAGCCACTCATGACGTGCCAGATTGATGGGCACAGATTTACAGGCCTTGTGGACTTGGGAGCTGATGTTTCCATCATAAAGGACTCTGAATGGCCACTTAACTGGCCCACTGTTTGCCCAGCTGCAACCATTCAAGGGGTGGGAGGCACACAGAGGCCCAGACAGAGTGCTCAAGTACTGACTGTCTTGGGGTCAGAGGAACAATTAGCCAAGATAGCTCCTTTTGTTGCTCCCATTCCATGTACACTATGGGGAAGGGATATTCTCGGACAGTTCGGCACAGTCATGCAAATTCCTCCTGCAAGCACTCAGGTTTTTCAATAGAGGCCATTGATCAGCCATCCCAAGCACTGATTAAGCTAGTCTGGAAAAGTGAGCAGCCAGTCTGGGTGGATCAATGGCCTATGAAAAAGGAATGGCTTGAACATTTAAGAGAGCTTGCAAGGGAATAGCTAGAAGCAGGTCACATTGTGCCAACAACTAGTCCCTGGAATACTCCTGTGTTCTGCATCCCCAAGAAAAGTGGAAAGTGGAGGATGCTGCAAGATTTAAAGGCAGTAAACGCAGTCATAGAACCCATGGAAGCATTGCAGCCTGGACTACCCTCACCTGCTATGCTCTCAGCAAATTGGCCACTAGCAGTAATTGATTTAAAGGACTGTTTCTTTACCATCTTCCTACACCCTGAGGATGCGCCAAGGTTTGCTTTCTCCATCCCGGCCTTGAACAATGCACAGCCCATGCAAAGGTATCACTGGGTTGTCCTTCCTCAGGGAATGAAAAATAGTCCAACCATATGTCAAACGGTAGTGGCAAACGCTATTCATCCCATCAGAAGGCGTTTTCCCTCTGCCATCATTTATCATTATATGGATGATATCTTAATTACCATGGCCACAGAACATGAACTGCAAATTGTTGTTACTGCTCTAATCGATGCTGTCCAAGATGCAGGGTTACAGGTTGCTCCAGAGAAAATCCAGCTATCACAACCCTGGACTTAACCTTGTATGGAAAATCACACAGGAAGAAATTTCTCCACAGCTACTGCAGCTCGAGGTAAAAAACACTTAAACTTTACATGAGGTGCAAAAACTTCTGGGAGCCATTAACTGGTTAAGGCCTATTTTAGGCATAACCACAGAGGAGCTACACCCTCTATTTGAGCTGCTAAAGGGGGACTCCAACCTAACGTGTAGCAGGTCTCTGACTGCAGAGGCAAAGCAGGCGTTAGACATTTGTGCCAAGGCAATAGAAGGCAGACAAGGCAGAAGGAGAAATCCTGAACTGCAAATCTGCCTAGCCCTTGTTCCCAGCAGGTACCAGCCATTTGCAGTTTTGTTTCAGTGGGATCAGACTGAAAAAGACCCACTGCAAATTCTAGAGTGGCTGTTTCTGCCCCACACACCACCTAAAACTGTGTGGACTAATAATTAAATATTTGCCAAGCTTGTCGTTAAAGGCAGAGGCCGACTACAGGAACTGGATGGGAGAGATCCTGCCACCATCTATGTCCCAGCTACAAAGGACAACCTTGACTGGATGCTAGCTGAGGACGCAGGATTCCAGGTTGCCTTGGCAGGCTTTGACAGTGACATTTCAATTCATCTCCCTAAACACAGATTGTGGCCAGAAGTTGGTAGTTTACCTTTAAAAGCCAGTACCAGATGCAAACATGAACCAGTGAAAGGCCTCATGGTCTTCACAGGTGCATCTGGAAGGACACAAAAAGCTGCAGTGACATGGATAAACCCTGACACAGGACAATGGCAATGAGAGGTACAGACCATGAACCAAGGCTCTGTGCAGGTTCTGGAACTGGCTGCCATACGTATTGCCTTGGGGAAATTTTCTGAACAACCTGTTAATATTGTTACCGATTCCTGTTATGCTGCAGGGTTAGTGTCCCATCTCGAAAGGTCATTTCTTCAAGATGTTACTAACCCTCACCCGTTGTTTGAAGAGCTGAAATGGATTCCTTCCAGGTGTGTTAGACCCTACTTAGGTACACAACCACAGCAGCAAGAACCAGAGTAACGCAGAAGTTATAACTTATGTTTAAGTTTCAGGTTTACATTTAAGGACGACCAGTGTGGCAAAAAGCAGTCTATACAAAATCCATGAGTGTGTGTATGATGTATGGAATGACGGCCGTCAGTGAATGTGTGTGTGAACGAATAAGAGAATTGTTTGACTGGACAAGTGCCTTGAACACCAAACACCTCACAAAAATAACACTACCTCCGCCACATGGTCACTTTAAGAGAATTTAGTTTTGCTAAGCTTAGCCTGTTTTTTACATAAAATTGAATTCCCCAGTTATTTAAACCCTCAAATTAATAAAGATTATAGGTATGCACAGTTGGGCTAAGGCCCCTAGGTTAATAAAGTTATTTCTCCAAGTTGCACTACCCTTTAGAAATATAAGAAGGTTTTAAAAGGTTTACAATAGATGTATAAGAAGCCAAAGCTAGTAATGTGCTGGGTCATTGCATGCTTTGGTAGTTGTAATGTACTGTTCTGATTGTTTGCACTGTTGTTTTTGCATTGTTTTCGTGACCTTCTTAAATAATTGAGAAGGGAGTGATGTAGGAGGCGTGTCCAAGGGTGCAGGGGGACACACCGGGGGCAGTGAAGCCCAAGGAGCATGCGCTGAAATAGACAACCCCATTGGTCACAAGGTCACATGGTTTTAAGGGATAAAAAGGGCACTGAGTTTGAATAAAGCCTCTTTGATTACCATCCCATCGAGGAGCTGACTGCATTTCTTTATTATATAAAGACCCACGCAACAACCAACATTCACTACAAGGCAAAAGACCCAGGCAGCCCCTGCAGTCCCCCACAATATTATCAGCAGCACAGATTGGAGACACAAGTACCTTTTCAAAAACAGTTCTGTTTTTAGGTCAGCTGCTTCCTAAATGAGCACCTGCATGACCTTAAATTATCACATATTCCTGGTCTATAGGGACTCAAGAGGCCTAACGCAGAAAAAGCACCATATCCTGAAATAAAAGAATAAACAGAGAAAAAGCACCATACCCTGCAATAAGAGAATTAGACCCTCATCTCACAAATCCTCCCTTTCTGCTCTCCAGTTAATATAATTTACAGCACCCAGAAGACTCAAGCAATCCAAAGGGGTTTATGAAAGATAGGAAAAAAAAAGTGTAGCTTTTATGATGGATAACTTTGAGTCTGGGTGCACAGGAGAGCATACTGGCAGGTTTTTAATCTCATAATTGCATAGAAGTCTTGCAGCCTGCCAGAATTAGTCAGAAAATCTTGGTCTGAAACAGGTAGAAACACAATCCTGCGCTCTGCTGTGGGTGGTGTGGTGTTACCTGCACCTGAACAAGCACACGTTTGTCACACAGCAGAGAGGCAACAGGCATCACCTATTTTGAGGAAAAGTTCCAAATCTCTACATAATCAAAAATCTATCTTGAAAAGGGGTTAGCAAAGAAGGAAGTTCCCAGGCTCATGCAGCATTTTGGCTTCTGTACCTTAGTAATTTACAACTGAGGATTAGAAACCCAGAAGAGGTTTAATGAAACTTGCATTTCCCCAGAGAGATACCTCATCATCACTGTAACTCTCTGCAGGATTCAGGAAGTACTGTCAGAGGTCACAGCTGCACACATTTTTCCTATAAACTGTTCCTCGTCTGTGGAATCAAAAATGCCTAACATAGTTTATAATGTTTTTCCGTTTCCTTCATCTGATTTTGTTAAAATAAAGGTGCACTTCCCTATCAGCATTTTCATTCCCCTGAGCACCTTCACAAAAGATATTGCTGTGGCCTCAACTAATGCACAAGTTTAAGAGTAAAAGAAAAAACATCCTGAGCATATTTTTGCTCAGTATGGATACTGTAAACTATTAAATGTGAATACTAATTTGTATTACTGAAAAAAAAAGTAAAAATACCTTTTCTACAAATACACAATGGAGATAAAACGTATAAGCTTAACATTTTTCCTCTGTGACTGTATGTGCTGCTTCACAATGCATTAGGAAAACCGAAAAAAAAAAAAGTCAGGAGCCACAGGCATAGATTTTAGAGCACCGTTTGGCAGAAAGAAAAGATATTTGATCAAAATACCAACCTCTGAAGGTAGAGCCAAACAAAAGTAGTGGAACAAAAGCTGGCAAAACCCAACAGAACTGAGGGAACTAAAGAGCTGGCAGAGATTTAACTGAACTGCTGTTTTGTGCTGGTGGTGTGCAGGGCTCAGTCTGGTTTTCAGTGATCTCACAGGTGCTGTCTGTGCTTCCCAGAGGAGCCCAAGATTCTGTCCCTGCCTGTCACAGCCCAATTTGTTCCCGAGAGCTATTAATTCCACATATCTGTGGAAGGGAAGCTGCCTGCAGTTTCACAGATTCACAGAATATTCTGAGTTGGAAGGGACCCAGAAGGACCATCGAGTCCAACTCTTAAATGAATGGCCTATACGGGGATTGAAAGGGGATCGAACTCATGACCTCGGTGTTATTTTTGAGCCTTGCCAAAAATGGGTGTCTCATCTCAAGAAACTGCTGTAAGGACTTGCTCCTTTGCCTCATTGCAAATTGAAGGTGGAGGCTGCTTTTAAACTAGTGCCCAGGAGTACTCTTCGAGTGTCATAAATGCAAACCCAATATTTTCTGACACTTTGGGGAGGTGGGGGATTTTGTTTGGAATATCAAAGGAGCTTTTCTCAGTTAACATATAGCCATGTCACAAATACAAGAATGTTCTGCAGTTGCATCTTCAGTTTTTCTGCTGCTTCTTTTATGTTTTTTCTTCTACTCCCCCTTTTTTTTCCAATATTCCTTTTATTATCTCTCCCTGTGCCCTACTTTCTTCCCTTTTCTGTACAACTTCTGTTCACCTCTTCCCTTGCTGCTCTGCTCTTCTGCCTCCAGAACCACATGGGCCGTGGGAATATTTTCCTCAGCAGAGCACCCTAGGCTCTTATGTGTGAGCAGCAGAGTCTGCCTTGATTTGGCTACTACTTTCAAAGCATTTCAATGGCCTGCTTTGCCATAATCACCATAAAATAATGCATGTCAAGGTAGAGCAATTAATTTTAATTGGTGACTCAGCCTATAATGACTTCAAAGGGAATTTAGAGATTCAATTGAAATTTGAAAAATATAAGTGCAAATATCACTGCTTCTTAAAGAAAGGCAGTGCAAAGAACTAAGTAGAAATGCTCCTGCTGGGTGAACTCTGAAAAGTCATCTGTGCCTTAGTTTCCTTGATCAATAATGGGATAATAATGCTACCAAATCCCTTACCAGCACTGGAATATTTGCAAATAAAGGTTTATCAGTGTAAAACGAATCAAACTTGTTTGCATACAATTTTTTTTTCATTCACACTCTCAGGCAGCAGAGTAGTGTTCAGCATTCTCATGCGGGACTAGTTCTGAGTATCTCAAATATCATCCTTTGCAAATTGGCAAATAAATTTAAGATTTTAGCTTCTTCCAGAACCTTCGTCTAAATCAGATTATGGTTTATTCCCAGCAGGCATAAAGTATTAAATGGCTTTACGTTTCTGCTCTTTCCCAAGCAGAATATATGTATTTGATAACAGGAATCTGTGCAAAAGGGAAACGCTCTAAGCAGAGAAAACATGATTTGTTTTGGAAATATTAGTATTGAGGACTTTTTGTGAAGAAACTTTTTGAGTTTTTGTAAATCACAGTCAGAGAATAGTTTAGATTTTCTTAAACCAAGGCACTTAGCTAGGTTCATTTGCTGCATATTAAGACTTTCTAGGCACTACCTACAGAGCTGTTCCAATCTGGTTGTCATTTGCCAGATCATTATACCATGGCATTTTTGTGTTCTGTTTTGGCTCTGTAGAAAATAAACGAGTTGATGTACTCCGTAGAGTTTTTTTCAATATCAGCTGTATAACAGATATTCACACTGCTCCCCACACTGAGCCCCCTTCCCCAGTAGAGAGATCTAGAGAAAGACATCTATTAAAACAAACCCAGAAAACTGAAACAAGAAGCCCCTAAGAGAACACCACCACTCTACTTGAATCTCCCTTTTCTTAGTATCACTGCCCCAATTCCTAGAAACAACATCCCATTTGCAGACTAGTATATCGTGTGAATGTTAATTAACTGCATACATGGATTTTAGAAGCACAAATCTTTGAGTTTAAATTCTGCACAGCACCAAGTCCTTTGGCCTGTTCTGGAAACCAATACTTACACATATGATTCACTGTTTCACTCCAAAGCTGAAAACTGAGCAGAGATGACCAAGGAGACCATCAAGTAGAAATACAGAAGGAATGTGGTAGGTCTATGGTCATAAGGTAGGAATAAAATTAGAAGCCAAAGCACCTGTGTTCAGATTAGTGATCACCAGTCCTATGTGCCATCTCGGTTATTAATGTTCCTCTTGACTCCAGGGATCTGGTCTCAAGATGAAAATATGGAGGATCGAAACTTTTGAGCATTTGGTTGTAATCTGAAGTGAGAAACTGTTGCTCCCTAAGGACTGACTGAAGAAATAAACAGACAACCTTAAGGCATAATGTTCAGTCAATGAACGCCATCAAATAAATCATAGAAAATAAGGCATTGTGATGCCTTATTGTGATATAATTGAGGATTTTCCCTTATGTAAACTTAATAGTACATTTAATTGCAAGAGATCTGCCACTATGAAAAACAAATGTTAGATTGCTTCTTTTATAGAAAGGAGAAATGGCTTTCCATTTAAATAGTTATCTGCTATCCATAACATCTCCTTCTGCCTTTGTTTCCACATCTGTGAATCAGTTGTTTTGCATACTTCTCTTTATTCAAGTGTGGAGCCTTACACAACAGAAAATTGTTTTGCTAGGTTATTGTTCTGTTTGGTTTTTTTGATCTGATTTGACTTTTAGAGTTCTTTAGTATTAAGAAACTATCCTAAAATAAAGCTTAGAGATGTGAAATTTACAGGTGATAAATTGAAGCTCAGTTTTTCTAGGTTATTCTGTTACTTACTAACTTCTTCAGAGCTAAATGTACTTTTTTTGCTCAGTATTTATTCCTGACATTAGGAGTTACCTGGAGTAACATCTAATAAAAGTGTGTGAAAATAAATTGCTGACAAAGAAATACATTCATATGGTTAGAGGACTTTTCATATGAGCAATGGTTTGCAGTACCAAGGTTTTAAACATGGAATCTTTGGAATTTGGCTCACATTTTCTCACACTTTGAGTGAATTCAGTTGGCATACACACTGTAAGTGAAGATAACTGATATTTCATGTCATATTTCATGTGGTATTGCTGTGGATAGGGAGGCAGATACTGTTGCTGAGCGAATTCTTACGCCAAACAACCCAAAAGTAGCTATTTTTGCGTTTTTGCTGATATTATGTACACTTTTCTATGATAACAAATATTTTGAGAATGTTCGAATGTATTAATTAACAAACAGCGAGGATGTTTGAAACTCTAAACTTGTTACTTGAACAACGTTATTACAATAATTGCATTTATGCGGATGTATTTGAGAATTTATTGACTTTAACAACATCTAGCAATCTTTATCTTTAACAATTCAAACAAAGCCACTGGGGAACTGATGAAAAAGTAGGAATAAGACATTGTGGCTGCAGAGGCGGGCTGCGCAGGGGGCAGTTCAGCCAGCTGCAGCGCAGCCCCGCTCCGTCCCAGCACAAGGGACGGGAGCCGTTACCCCCGGTCCTGGCTTGGCTGCATTATTCACCACCGCGGACGGCGGGATTGCCCCCGTAGGGGTCTCGGCGCGCCACCGGTCGGGGACCACGCCGCCTCTCTCTCTGGCTGCGGCACAATCTGCGCACGGCTCCGCTGGGCGTCCGCAGCCCACGCTGTCCGGCTGAGAAGGGGGGCGGGGGAGGGGGCGGGGGGGCGCGCGCCGCGCCCAGGACTGAGTCCCGCCGCCGGCGGAGCTGCTTTGTTTCAGCCCCGGAGCGGAAGAGACTCCGCACAGCGCTGGGCACGGCCCCGCCCCTGCCCCCAGTATTCCTGCAAAGCAGGTTTGGAGCAGCTTCAGGGAGCAATTGATTTGCTCGCAGAGCTGGACAGGGGCCAGGGTCATGCCCGCACTCCGGCCTTGCGGGCCCTCGCCTCCGCCCTCGCCACGCAGCCCCCGCCCCGTGCAGCTGCCGCCCCGGCCCTGGGCCATCCCCGGGAGGGGTGGGCCCACACGGGCCCCGCTCTCGCGTCCCGCCGCGCGCCGGGAGCCTCTGCACCCGGAAACCCCGGCTCTGCACCTCGAGGCGCCCCAGCCCCCCTGGCTGCCCCCTGCCCCGCCGCGCACGCCACTCTTCAGCGCGGCGCGGGCGGCATCTCTGCAGTGAAGCAAGATACACCCCCCTGTCCGCTTCCTGCCCCGCCATCTTGGTCTCCATGGCAACAGTCGTCGGGCCGACACACCTGGTCCCCATTAGGGGCACACAACAAAATGGCCGCGGGACCGGAAGAGACGAGCTTTCTCCGGTCACGCGGCCGGGGCAAAATGGCCGCGCCCATGCAACCATGAAGTCTTCACGTAATTCCACAGGAACTCCATGGCAAGACTTTTCCTGCATGCATTCCCGATCTCGCGGTGGGAATCTAATAACTGTC